GTTTGAAAATTGAAATGAGGGTTACTAAAATCTCCCCCCCACCCAGATTGGAAGTGGCTACACTTAATATGTGGAGTATATTGCAAACCTAGTAGGCCAATGCACGCGTCTACCTGACGTGGTAGTGCATTTTTCATTAGTATCCGGTTTGGTCGGAGTTAAAGAAGTTGTACCAGTATTATTATGATTACAAGGACTTGAATCCAAAAATGCTGGTTTGAGTCTGTCAATGCTGACAGTTACGGAATTCTCATTAATTTTCAGAGTGAAATATTTGGGCGCATCGGAAATAACTCTGTAAGGACCAGCATACGGTGGCGTTAGAGGATTTTTTTTAACAGAGTCCCGACGAACAAAAACATATTTGGAGTTCTCCAAATCTTTCGGAATAAAGACAGGTTTTTTTTTAAGAATGTGTTGTAGAATACGTAAGATTAGACATCCTGTTCTGTAAATCACGAATAAATTTTGTCGTCGGTGTAGATTGTGGATTCTGGTCATTGACTATTTATCCAGGTGAAGCAGTACCATAAACTAGTTCCAATGCTGCACAATTTGAATCCGTCTTTAAGAAGTTTCGCAAGATTAACATTATTAAAGGCAGTCTTCCAAGCTATGTGGTAATATCAGCAGTCGCCATTAATGAAGACTTAAGTTGACGATGAAATGAAATCTCTCTACCAACCCGTTGCGCATATGGGTGGTATTCTGTAGTAGAGATATGTTTTACTCCTAACAGTTTTAAAAATCCGTGAAAAAAGTGCTGATTGAAACTGCAGACCCCTATCAGTTGCAATAACTGAAGGACATCCAAAATTCGGTAGCCAATCTCGAAGTATTGCTTTAGCAACAGCTTCAGCAGTTGTAGATTGTAATGGAACTACGAGAGGCCATCTTGTAAAACGATCTACTATAGTTAGAATATATTCGTAACCGTTATTTTTTTTTTTTTTTTCTATTGTCTGCTTTCCGTTCTTCATCTTGCCTTCAATATGTCCTCTTTATGTCAACTTCTCCAGGCCCTCTTTATCTAATCCCGTGTCTCTTTCTTCTGATTCAAAATATAAGCCTGCTTTTACTTTCAAGACTACTTCGTTACTCACATGTTCAATCCATTGGATTCTCAGCATCCTTCTGTAGAAACACATTTCTGTTGCCTCAAATCTCCACCTATTTACCCTGAAGGTTTATTTTCCCGTCTTGGGTTTGACGATAAACTAGATCCGCGTCCTGTGTAAAACGATAAACTACACCCGGCAGCAAGGCCTCTGATCAGGAGGTTTTGAGAAACGTGGAACCACCTCTTAATTGCTGATGTTCCCAAGTCCACCCTGACCCGGGGTGGTAGCAGCTGTTAGGGTCCCCTATTATTGGCAAATAGTTAACTCCCAAACTGGGCTCAAAATACTATAAATGTGTAAAAAATAGATTTTAATACCAGAAATATTTTTTTTATAAAAAATTATTATCAACAATAAAGTTTTGAGGAAAAATTTATTACCAGCAATACATTTTTGAAAAGAAAAAAAAATTACCAGAAATATTTTTGAAAAAAAATATTACCAGCAATAAAAATTTTGTCGGCATTAAATAACCCATTGATGTTGATATGCCGTAAAGCAAATCAAATCAAACCTTTTAGTTTTAGCTTGCGCAAGACTTTCTCGTTACTCACATGTTCAATCCATTGAATTCTCAGCATCCTTCTGTAGAGACAATTTTCTGTTGGCTCAAGTCTCTACCTATTTGCTCTGAAAGTATAAAATTATGTACAAAATATTTGTAGTTGAATTTATTTATATATAAAATTGTGTGACATCTGCCTGTCCATCACACCCTTTAAAATAACTATACATTGATCGATCGAAACTAAAATTGGGGGAGAACTACAAACATGTTAGGGGGTCCAATGTACAATCGGTTTTACAAGGGTGCATAGCTTAGTACAATAAATTTTCATTATTTCTTTTTGAAAAATTAAAGGTTTTATTATTTAATATACAAAATACTCGCACTTTTTTTTTAAATTTTCAAATTAATGATTAAAATTAATTCTTATTTAATAAAAAATAAAATATTGCTTTTTTTTTTTGCATATCTTTGCTTTAAGTTTTTATAAAGACAAAAATCCAGTTTCCAGTTGGCCTTTCTTTTGCGAGAACAATAAACAAATCACAAGACCAAGTGTTAGCACGTTATGGCCGTGGTTGTAGTTAATATTATTAAGTGTTAACTTTTTCTTTTTTTATTATTAAGGCTTCCATCATTTTTAATCTTTTTGACATGAGGATTGGGTTATTACGTTTGTATTTTCTACTTGTATATTTCAGATGGAGTCTGGTAATTTTTTGTGTTTATTTAAGTGGATTCTAATAGAGCAGTGATCAGATAGGTTGTAAGGCAAGACGTTTGGATAGGCCTGTATTAAATAACCCATTGAGGTTGATATGATGTAAAACAAAACAAACCCCCAAACCAAACGAAACCATCAAAACGTTAACCGAAAATTGGATTTGGCAATAAATAATTACTCAGATGCACATTGTCGGTCCTTTTTAATAAAACTATATATATATATATATATATATATATATATATATATATATATATATATATATATATATAAAGAAAGAACAGCAAGTTATATAATCCGGTGTTCTTATAGATATTTTTATTTTTACAAAATAGTGCTCAATGTAAATTTACAGAGCATGAGGATGAAATGGAACTAATGTCTTTAATTATTCACAAAATTAAATTCGTGGCTTTTAGCTTCCATTTTTGAAACATGGTTAGAACTGTGTAGCGAAAAAAACATATTTTAAATCAATTAATTTATAATATATATATATATATATATATATATATATATATATATATATATATATGAAAACTACACATTATTAAGTTTCTAAATAATAAAAATCTATTAAACACTAGACAGGAGTTAACGGTTTTTTGCCGACATCATCAAATTTTCGCATTGAATAATTAGCATAAAAACAAACAAAGAATAAAATAATTTTTATATTCCATAGTCTAAATAAATAGTTTAAATGCCCTACAAAAAAATAAAGATAACCCTTTATGAAGTCGTCAAAAAAACAAATGTTAGCGAATTATGACAGTTTTTTTTATATACACAAAACCCTTTCAGAAAAAAATGAAATAAAAAAAATAAATAAATCTCCATAGACACTTAACCAGACTAGACGATGTCATCTTCCGCTTTGAATTTAGACACCCCAACCTTACCCTGACTTGACCTCTTTGAATGTAACTGAGATATTGATACAAATTATTAACCCTTACTTGCTAAGAAAATCACAATATTGATCCATATTTTTTAATCCAATCAAGCCATTATCAAAGATCTCTACAAATATCCTTAAATGTCTATAATTGGTAACAGAAGCCATTGGTTTATACCAACGGCTTCCCATACTTCATACTTCTCCAATTCACTCTCGCGTGGTCATGTGTGATGTCATGAGCTGCGGTGCGATTTTCGCTCCCTGCGTCTTATATGCACGTGTTTATCGTTGCTTGGAAACCATCCATGTAAACAATCACAGACTACCATCACTGTCTTGTCCATAATCTTAAAAGACGTTATGAAAAGAATTTACCTAAAATAAATAGACAATACATGTCTATATTATTTAATGAAACATGTATGAATATATATATATATATATATATATATATATATATATATATATATATATATATATATATATATATGCGTATATTTCGGCAGCATTAAAAATCCTCGTCGAAAATACCTTTTATACATTTCCACGAAAAATTCTCGTTGCGATTTATATAAAAAAATTGAAACCAAACCTCAATAAAATTAATTACGTCAGTGGTGCATTGTGGGTAATCTATTCTGGCGGTTATTTTTGTGGGAGTATTATTTATACTTTTAGGATTTTGAGTTTTTATTAACGTAGCAAAAAAATTGCGAGGGATTTCCTTAGGTCGCATATTTAATAGTTAGTCTTGGAAGAGAAGTCTGTTTATAAATTATATATATATCTATATTACCATTTTTATACGTGGGGTCAAGACCGCTGTGTCATGGTTTGAGTGACGGACACCGTTTAAAGGGAGATAACTACGTATGCTGTGGAAAAATTCCGGACTTGAATAGTTGCGAGATAAAGTAAAAACTATTAATGACAAGCACTAACATTTAAAATCCATCTATCGTACAAACATATATTTAAGGGGAGATGAGCTGTGGAAAAAATCCTGACTTGAGGCGTTGCTACGTAAAGGAACGATTATTAATGATGAGCGCTAACGTTTAAAGACTATCTGTTTTACACATGTTAAAATGTTTGTGGAGTATTCGTTGTTAATTTTATTGAATGGTAATTTTCGGATGACCACAGCAATTTTTGTCCTTCACAATAATTAACACTAAATACTTACTCTATAATTAACAATACCCTGATGAAGACATTATGCTATGTCGAAAGTACTCAGAATAAATGCAATATGAACTAACACGGTGTTTTCCTCTCGTCTTTTAAAAACGCACGAAAATTGTTATCCGCGAATATAAAAGGAACCTATCGAGAATAAGTAGACAGAACTTGTCTAAATCATTTAACGAAACCTGTCTTACTATATATATATATATATATATATATATATATATATATATATATATATATATACGTACAGCGAAATTGTCTTCTATGTGGTTGACTAATATATATATATATATATATATATATATATATATATAGTCATCGACATACAAGACTGTTTCGCTGTATCACAGTTCAACGGTGCGGCTAGAAGTCCGACTACTTCAAGCCAGAATCGAAACTCGACCGGTTCGGTATCAGTCAGAGATTCTACCCCTAATATGTCGCCACAGCACAGAAAGTGAAACTTTTAATGTCTTATATACAAGATGTATACTAGCGACAGTAACCAAGAGTGCTCTATTCGTAATATTGATATATAGATTGATAGATAGATACATAGACAGACAGACAGATAGATAGATAGATAGGTAAAGAGAGAGTTGGTTTGAAAAACTATACGTTTATATATCATTTTTTAAGCCAACTATTTATAAATATTCTTCAAATTTATTATCTCAAGTATTTCCTCTAATAGCGACGCGAAACCATTTTTTTTTCATCTTTAGAATTTTGTAGCCGCAGGGCATCACGGGATGTGTTTTCTCTCTGGACGCATCTGTTGTTGAAACTGTGAGAATTTGTTGTTATTAACAACAGAACTTGTTTTGGAAAGAGTTTAAATTTCCTGTGCTTACAGCAAAATGTTCACAAACTATACCAACATAAGTAAGAATATATATATATATATATATATATATATATATATATATATATATATATATATATATTGCCTTTTTTTCTGAATGTTTTACGGTTGAAATAGCCAGAAGCTCTTTCGTGTCTCCACGACAAAATATATCAATATAAAGAGAATTTATTTTAATATATACAATATTTGGTCGGGTGTGCGGTTGGTGTTACAGTCAAGAGCGACAAAATGGAATCGGCAGACCAAGTTCAAATCCTTGTATTCCCTTTTGCAGTAACGCCCCTGAGAAATGCATAGATTCATCACATCTAACCCCCAACATATTGGTTAAATAGTCGGCTAGACTCTTCTCTTCAGAAGAAAAAGAACTTGTCTCTTTCTTTTATATATTATCAAGGTGATTGTCCTGATGAAGAACTTTTTTAATGATTTCACCCCAAGCAAGGCGATAAAGCTACTAAGCTGCTGAGAGTAAACGTAGAAAATGTTATCATGGCGAAAGAACGGGATTGAAAAAGACGGAAGATGGCAGTTGACGTTGCCGAAGATTTAATTTTTAGAGGATTGTAGTTGCCAGAAACTCAAGAAGCCGGAAAAGAGTCCAACAAGATACTATTAGAATAGAACTATTAGAATAAATCTAGCTATTTCATCATTAAAATGATGGGACCTAACTGCCAATCTGGTACTGCGTTTAAAGTCACTGAGGTACCAAAGAGGAAAACTCGTCAGAACAATCGCCATGAAAAAATTTAGGTATAATCTTGAAACATCAATAAAAAAAAAACAAAACACTTTTCAGAAAATAAGCAAAATTAAATAAAAACATAAAATAATATTCCGCAGGTTTTAATCAAGTAGATATTCCGACAAAAGATAAATAAATTTATAAATATGTATGAATATGAATATCAGCAGGGTGGACACAGAGTTGCGACAATCCGTCCATGTTTGAACTCAAACTTTAAAGCATACATTGTCAAGCGTGGTTGGTGTGTCTAGATAATCTAGACGTTGAGCACTATACTGAGTAAGTAGGTATTTGCCTTTAGGGCTTCGTCGTTTTTTTATTGCTGTCATTGTTCGAGACTTTATCGTTTAAGGTATTTAGGTCTTTTTTCCAAATATATATATATATATATATATATATATATATATTTATATATATATATATATATATATATATATATATATATATATATATATATATTTTTAAAATATGATTCCTTCTGCTACATAAGAGTTCTCATGTTTCAAAACGAGAGCCGAAACCATCCAAATAATTATTAAAATTAAGTTGGATTGTGGTGTTTAGTCCCGTTTCATTTCAAGCGAAATTTTAGGAATAAGCTATTTGTCGGTTTACGTGTATTTTTAGGCCCGGTCCGTTACAGAATTCGTTATTGTGGGAGTGGCTAGACTATTTTCCTTCGTTAAGTGGTCAGAGAGTTAATTCTTATCAATAGATTCATCATCTTCTAAGAGGTTTTGGTAAGGTTGAGTAGGGTATCTATTTCAAGGCTAATGTTTGTGGTCACCCTTTAGTTAGTTCCCAGTGAGGGATATTTTTATGGCGCGCCTACAATCGTTATGTGTCTGGGGAATTGTCTTTTATTATTGTCCATCTGATTATCTATTTATTTATTCAAGTGGGTGTTTTATATACAAATCGTATTGCACTGAATTTCATTTTGTTTTTTGTTTTTTGTTTTTGGTTTTTTGACGACTACAAAAAGGGTTTTTCCTATTTAATGATTTGGCTAAGCTTTTAAGAATTTTACTTAGCTATGGGATTTGTTTTATGCTAATTATTTAATGCAATATATATATATATATATATATATATATATATATATATATATATATATATATATATATATATAAAT